GAGTCTGGCAGGGGGAGATGAGGCCTGACAACCTTATTATAGGCTGGGGTAGTTTGCTCAATTCCAGCCCCGTGCCTAGTTGATGTTGCTCTGGCTAAATTCCTCTGCAGGTCAGACGCTGCTAGAGCTGATAACTCAGCCCTATGGCCAGATAAGCAGTTCCTGTAAGTCTGTGAGCTGCGCATATTCTAGTCCCTGCACTCTACCCGGGTTGGTACTCACAGAATTTCCCAAATCCTCTCCACCAGTGGCTGTCACGGGAGAAAAATTCCCAAAACCTCTGGTTTCCCAGTGTGTATCTATCTGGAATGGCCTCAGGGATGCAGGCCCCTCCCTGTGCTGCAGCTGCCACTGTCAGGATACTGTTGCTCCTGTGTAGCTCCCCCTCAGCTGACTGACCTCTCCTTGCTACAGAGTCAGCACAGACCAGCACCAGCCCTTTCCCCCTCCACTCCTCTCAAGGAAATGTCCAAGAATCTGGACTCCATGGGCGACAAACCTCCAGACCTTGGGGTGAGAGTTGGGGGGGAATCCTCAGAGTTCAGAGTTGTAGGTAGGGAATATATACAGTTTTATACAGTTTTACAGTTTTATGCCTGTCAGGAGGGTGCCATGGCATGCCAGCAGGGGTAGGAGGTCCAGTTTTTAGGGTGTTTCTCCCATGGGATAGAGTGGGAGGATATTTGAACTCTGCTCGCTTGTTTGTATAGAGTAAACTGAGAGCCCTTCTTGTGGGGGAGGGGACTCCCATCTGCTTGGTAGTGGATTTTGTACCTTTTGATTGTATTTTTGGGGTCACAACTCTCCTCAGCAAGGTTGAAGTGCATTCTTCAATCTTCTCTCTTGGCTCCACTCCAAATCATCAGCTCCCTGGCTAAACTTCTGTCCTTTAAGTCTCCTTTTGGACAGGAGCCTCTGCAAAAAGCTGGCTGCAGTCTGCCATCTTGTCCACCCCCCAACTCATTCTTTAACTCCCGCACTATGTCAGAAATTCACAGCATAAATTCATTTATTCAACACATATTGTTGAGAGCATATTATGATACCATGTTGTGCTATGGGGTAAAATGCTGAAATCATTCATTCACACATACATAACATTCAACAAATATTTTCTGAGCATGTGCCACATGCCAGGCACTATTCCACAAGCTGGGAATACAGAAGTAGACAAGATAGACAGTGTTGGCTCAGTGCTGTGGCTCAAGTGGCTAAGGCACCAGCCACATACACCTGAGCTGCCAAACAACAATGACAACTGCAACCAAAAAATAGCCGAGTATTGTGGTGGGCACCTGTGTTCCCAGCTATTTGGGAGGTGGAGGCCAGAGAATCACTTAAGCCCAGGAGTTGGAGGTTGCTGTGAGCAGTGATGCCATGGCACTCTACCCAGGGTGTCAGCTTGAGGCTCTGTCTCAAAAAAAAGTATTCACGGGGTCAAGGGGGAGAGGCAGACCATAAACCAGTGAACCAAGGTTCATCTGCTAAGAGGCCATTCAGAAGAGACGGTGAATTCATGGAAAATTATTTTCTCCATCTAGTGGCAAAGAAATTAAGATCCTCTGAAATTTAATGCATAATTTTAAGAAAACTGAAGGAAAATATAGACTTTATAGTCACATACTAGATGATACGGACACAATAATTTGAGTAGTAACTATTCCTTTAGGCAACAGTTGTAAACTTATTTTCTATTGGGATTATTTAGAAGTAAATATATAAAACTTACTCTTAAATATGTAACAGTTTAAAAATCTGTCAGGGGCTCGGCGCCTGTAGCTCAAGCGGCTAAGGTGCCAGCCACATACACCCAAGGTGGCGGGTTCGAATCCCCAGCCTGGGCCCGCCAAACAACAATGATGGCTGCAACTAAAAAATGGCCGGGTGTTGTGGCGGGCGCCTGTGGTCCCAGCTACTTGGGAGGCTGAGTCAGGAGACTCGCTTGAGCCCAGGAGTTGGAGGTTGCTGTGAGCTGTGATGCCATGGCACTCTACCCAGGGGGATAGCTTGAGGCTCCATCTCAAAAAAAAAAAAAAATATCTGTCAGGAACTAAATTAGCTAAGTAGAATATTGACTAGTTTTATCTGATAATTATACTGTACATTTACATATTAATGCAGTATAATGTTTTAGTATATACTGCACTCTAGGGAGTCACTAAAATGTGGGCAAAGAAAAATACTACCGAAGGCATCTTAAACTCATTTGGCCGTCATTTTAAAAGTTGGTGTTTTGACAAATCATCTAATGGTGAAGATCTCACCAAAATTAGAGGTTTTGCTCTAAGATATTTAAGAACACATAGTAGAAATAATAGCTTATAGACTATAAAAATTATATGATCAATGTGGAAAATTGATTTAAAAAAATTAGAAATTCTTCAAGTGTACAAGGTAAGGGAATTTACACAAAGATATTGTGACGATGTGTGTTACCAAGATCAGGAAAAGAGGCCATCTCTACTGGTATCAGTGGCTACCTGGAAAACCCAGCAATGGTGCTTGTTCTCACATACTCGCTCTCTCTTTCTTTCTGTTTTCCTCCACGTGGTGATGTACACCCTCAAAAGGAGCTGGATCCGTGGGCTCCTGGAGCATAGACTTCCCAACACCCAAAACTATGAGAGAGCCACTCAGTCTGGGTGATTTATGATAGCAGCCTGAACTAAGACGAAGCATTTTCATGAAGCATTTTCATGTTCAAGTTATTTGGGGGAAATAGCTACCTGTTTTCTACAATTTCTTCAACTTCAAGAAAAAAAATTCCTAATTCGAGAAGGTTCTGGAGAAGGAGAAATCCAGATAAGAGAGGTAATATTCTCAAGTGGCTTTATGTTTTAATTCTGCCAATTCTGTTACCACATTTGCATGTGTGTGTGCTCATGTGCAGAGCCTCTCAGAGTGACAGGACAGTGTGGCCCACTCTTCCTGATGAGTGTGGCTTCTGTTCCCTGCACTTGTCTATGGGAGTGGCCAGTCTGAGGGGCAGCGTGTGCTGAACACATGCAAAGGAAAGCAAGAAAAGTGCTGCTAATTTATTACCTCCCCTTCATGCTGGGTGGGGGGAGACACAGAGGCCAAGACCTGGCTAATTTGCCATTGAAACCTGACAACTTACCTCTCTCCACATTTACCTCCACTTTCTCTCTTGCACAAGTTACTCTCTAGAGTCCCAAGGGGTTTTCCTGCCATTCTTACACCCTCTAATCATTTCCACCAAACAAGCAGAGGAATCTTTAAACTGTACATCAGAAGCTGTCACTCCTGTTTCTTATTTCAGAGGAAAATTGCCAAGTTCTGACAAGAACTGACCTCTTCTCTGACTCACTTTCCACCTCCACTCATGTCGCCCCTCATATTTTTCAGGCAGGTTGCTACATCAGAATCTTTGAATTATACTTGTTGTTCTCCCCCAAACACTCTTTCCCAAATAAGTGGTTTGCTCCCTTGCTCCCCTTAGATTTCTGCATGAAAGTTGATATCTCAGAGGGCTTTTTGATAACCCTATGCAAAAAAATCCCTTCTCAGTCTCTCTCTGTTCCCCTCATCTAAATTTTTCTTTGAATCCTTACTACCACCTAACATATAAAGTTATTGTTTTGGCTCGGCGCCTATAGCTCAACCGGCTAAGGCGCCAGCCACGTACACCTAAGGTGGCGGGTTCGAATCCCCAGCCCGGACCCGCCAAACAACAATGACGGCTGCAACCAAAAAATAGCCGGGCGTTCTGGCGGGCGCCTGTGGTCCCAGCTACTTGGGAGGCGGAGGCAGGAGACTCGCTTGAGCCCAGGAGTTGGAGGTTGCTGTGAGCTGTAATGCCACGGCACTCTGCCCAGGGGGACAGCTTGAGGCTCTGTCTCAAAAAAAAAAAAAAAAAAAAGTTATTGTTTTGTTGCATCCTCTCTCATCTTACCCCATCACTAGAATGTAAACTGTGTAACAAGCTCAGAAATCTACTCTGTTCACTCCTATTTCCTCAGTTCCTAGAAAAGTTTCTGGCAGCATAGGTAATGAACATTGTAAATAATGAATATTGTGAAAATCCAAGTTCTCCAACCACCTCAGCTCCATGTCAAATCAGATAACTTGAATGCTGATTTTCTTTTCAGATTCCTCACAATTTTACACTAGAGTTTCCTCATCTGTTAAATGGGGGTTATCAGTACTTTCCTTACAGAGTATTGTGGTAAATTACAGAGAGAATGTCTCCAAAGCACTTAATATATATTCTAGCACACTGAAAGCCACCAAGAAATGGAAACTTTTTGATAATTATTATTACTATTTGTCAGCTATCTGGATTATTTTTGTCACCAACTTGACAACACATGGAGGCATAAGGATGGGAATCATTCTGTTTGTTTCTATATTTTGGACCTTCCACATGCATGGGTAAGTGTTTTTGAAAATCAAGTATCAGCTCCAGGGATTACCTATGTCCACAAAGACAAATTTGAGGAATAATCCCATGATATTATTTTAAGGGCCTACACTATTTGGTGATGAAAGATACCTTTCATATTTGCTCAAACATTCAGGCCATTGAAAGGGTATTGTATTTGACCTGACAATGTGTTTTCTAAGTTGAACTGGGGAGAGAAGCACTTCTACTAATTAGCATACTTCTCTCTGAGAACCCTGCCTGGCCTCAGTGATGGGGCTGTGGGAGGGACAGGTGACTGGGTGGAGATCTGTCACCCAGGGCTCTGAGATCAAGTCAAAGACTCAATACACAGATTGGGATCCTGTTCCAACCACTTTAAGAATGTGGGATCTGACAATTACGTTTGTAAACTTGCCAGCACAAACTTATGTTGGCAGCACTGTACAAACAACTTGGTGACGTTTCATTCCACAACCTTTGTATATCAGTGTCTTCAATTAACAAGCCAAATAAAAATGTAACATGATATGCTATTTTCCTAGGGTTTTGAACTCATCTTTATCATTTATATGAGGAAACCAGTGATAAAATCCTTGAAAATGCAATGAAACTTATGAGAAACATTTACATTTTTGTAGTATTGTTATGTCAGTGGAAGCCTGGGCTCCAAAGCTGCCAGAAGGGAATTGACTACCAACTGTTCCAACATGTCCCTAAAAAACATTCCTACAGACATGACCCCACCCACAACCACAGGATTTATCCTATAACCTTCTTTTTCAACTGGAGAGTTCAGATTTTTATTCTTTCTCCAAACTGAAAGTTTTGATTCTATGCCACAATAGAATCCAAGAGCTGAATATCAAAATTTTTGAATTCAACAAGGAGTTAAGATACTAGATTTGTCTTATAATAGACTGAAGACTGTAACTTGGTATTCACTGGAAAATCTCAGACATTTAGATCTTTCTTTTAATGACTTTGACACCATTCCTCTCTATGAGGACACCAGTGACATGTCACACCTGGAAACCCTGGGGTTGAGTGGGGCAAAAATTCAAAAATCAGATCTCCAGAAAATTGCTCATTTGCATCTAAACACTGTCTTCTTAGGATTGAGAACTCTTTCTCATTATGAAGAAGGTAGCTAACCCATCTTAAACACAACAAAACTTCACATTGTTTTACCACTGAACACAAATTTCTGGGTTCTTTTGCATGATGGAATCAAGACTTCAAAAATATTAGAAATGACAAATATAGATGGCAAGAGCCAATTTGTACATTATGAAATTCAATGGAATCTTAGTGTAGAGAATGCCAAGACATCTATTCTACTACTTAATAAAGTTGATTTACTCTGGAATGACCTTCTCCTTATCTTCCAATTTGTTTGGCACACATCTGTAGAATACTTCCAGATCCAAAATATGACTTTTGGAGGTAAGGTTTATCTCAATCACAATTAATTTGACTACTCAAATACTGTAATGAGAGCTATAAAATTGGAGCATGTACATTTAAGAATTTTCTTTATTCCACAGGATAAAGTCTACTTGCTTTTTACCAAAATGGATATAGAAAACGCAACAATATCAAATGCACAGATGCCACACATGCTTTTCCCTAATTATCCTACAAGATTCCGATATTTAAATTTTGCTAATAATATCTTAACAGATGAACTGTTTAAAAGAACTATCCAGTTGCCACATTTGACAACTCTCATTTTGAAGGACAATAAACTGGGGACACTTTCCTTAGTGAGTGGCTTTGCTCACAACACACCCTTGCAGCATTTGGACCTGAGCAAAAACCTATTACAACACAAAAATGATGAAAATTGCTCATGGCCAGAAATCTTGGTCACCATGAACCTGTCATCCAATAAATTTGATGATTCTGTTTTTAGGTGCTTGCCCATAAGTATTCAAATGCTTGACCTAAATAATAACCAAATTCAAACTATCCCCAAAGACACTATTTATCTTAAGTCCTTACAAGACCTAAAATGTTGCATTTAATTTTCTAACAGATCTCCCTGGGTGCAGTCATTTCAGTCAACTCTCAGTTCTGAACAATGAAATGAACTTAATCCTCAGCCCATCTCTGGGTTTTTTTCAGAGCTGCAAGGAGGTTAAGACTGTAAATGCAGGGAGAAATCCATTCTGGTGCACCTTTGAATTAAGAAATTTCATTTAGCTTGAAAAACATTTGGAGGGCATGGTGGCTGGATGGTCAGATTCATACGTCTGTGAATACCCTTTAAATCTTAAGGGGATTTGGTTAAAGGATGTTCATCTTCCCAAATTATCTTGCAACATAGCTTTGTTGATTGTCACCATCATGGTTATCATGCTAGTTGTGGAGATAGCTATGGCCTTCTGCTGTCTCCACTTTGATCTACCCTGGTATTTCAAGATGCTCGGTCAGTGAGTACAAATGTGGCACAGGATTAGGAAGACAAACAAGAAACAACTCAAGAGAAATGTCCAATTTGATGCATTTATTTCATATAGTGATCATGATTCTCCCTGGGTAAAGAATGCATTGATCCCTAGTCTAGAGAAAGAAGATGGTTCTGTCTTGATTTGCCTTCACAAGAGAAACTTTGACCCTGGCAAGAGCATTAGTGAAAATATCATAAGCTTCATTGAGAAAAGCTTTAAGTCTATCTTTGTTTTGTCTCCCAACTTTGTCCAGAGTGAGTGGGGCCATTATGAATTCTACTTTGCCCACTATGACTTTTTCCATGAAAATTCTGATCATATAATTCTTATCTTGGAACCCATTCCATTCTACTGCATTCCTACCAGGTATCATATCCTGAAAGCTCTCCTGGAAAAGAAAGCATACTTGGAATGGCCCAAGGACAGGCATAAATGTGGGCTTTTCTGGTCAAACCTTTGAACTGCTATTAATGTTAATCTATCAGACCCAAGAGAAATGTGTGAATTACAGACATTCACAGAGCTGAATGAAGAATCCCAATGTTCTTTAATCTCTCTGGTGAGAACAGACTGCCTATAAAACCCCAATTAAGGAAATTGGGGGCCACATACAGTGTTGGACTATAAATTGATATAACATTTATGATGGCAATTTGGCAATATCTATTAAAATAAAAATGGTTATTCCCTTCATATCAGTTCCCGGAAGGACTTCTGAGAACATATCCTATAGAAACACTTGTACATATTTGCAAAGGTTTTTATAAATAGTTGTTTATCCCAGCATTGTTTATAACCACGAAATGTCAATAACATCTCAATGTCACAAAATAAGGATAGGGTCAATAAATTGTAGTACATTGACGTAATAGAATATTACATAGCTGTTAAAAAAAAATGAGGCAGGCAGCACCTGTGGCTCAGTAAGTAGGGCACTGGCTCCATACACCAAGGCTGGTGGGTTTGAACCTGGCCCAGGCCAGCTAAAAGAACAATGACAACTGCAACAAAAAAATTAGCTGGGTGTTGTGGCAGGCACCTGTAGCTACTTGGGAGGCTGAGGCAAGAGAATCACTTAAGCCCAAGAGTTTGAGGTTGCTGTGAGCTGTGACACCATAGCACTCTACTTAGGGCAATAGCTTGAGACTCTGTCTCAAACAAACAACAAAAAAAAAAGGAATGAGGCAGCTCTACATTTACGGGTATGGGGAAAGTATATTAATATGTTAATTTATACATTGAAATCAAAGTCTAAAGGAATCTGTCCCAAAACAACACATGGATGTAGTGACAGTGGTTTGGGTCTTGGAGGTTTGAATTACAGGAGTATTTGACTTCCATGTTACATATTTCTATAATGTTTGGATTGTTTAGAATGAATCTGTACTTCTTTTATAAGTAGAAAAAACAATAAATATATTTTTTTAAATAAATAAATATAAATTTTAAAGCCTACAAGTCTTCCCTTTTAGACTCATGGTTCATGGGAAGAAAACATGCATTCCTAAAAATTGCAAAATTTTATTTCAAAAACAAACATCATGTCACTTCCTTCATTAGAAAAATGTTTTGGAGTGGCGCCTGTGGCTCAAGGAGTAGGGTACCAACCCCTATACTGGAGGTGGCATGTTCAAACCTGGCCCTGGACAAAAACTGCAAAAAAAAAAAAAAGTTTTGTTTGCCCATGTGATAAAGGAAGAAAACATCATGTTCCTTTAAGATCTGTTACCAACCCCTGTTACCTCCTTGATCCCTGTTGGGTTATTCACTTTTCTCTAGAACATTTAGCATCTTTTCATGCCCTAAGGCTGTACATTTGACTTTGTGTCTACCTGCAAGGCCTTTCCCACCTTGGTTTGTTCAGAAAATCTTACCTTTCCTTCAAGGTACAATCTAAATGTCAACTTTGCTTTGAAATCTTCCTCACTCCTTCCTCTGAGCATGAGACTCCTTAATTCTCTTTCAACACTCTGGACATATTTCTGTCATGCAATGGATGATAGAAGTTTCCATTTCTCACTAGACTAGGAATTCCTCAAAGACTAAGACATATTTACATCCACCATTGTCTCAGTAGAAGTTTCTGGTTCAGAAAAGGAGCCTAGTGAATGCTTATTGACCAGATACTTGATTAGGTAGTGGAGCTGAGTGGGGGAATCCCATTGGCTTCAGGATAGATGGTGGAATTTGAAAGCACGTTTTGAAAACCTGAGGAGGAAGAGGGAATAGGCCAAGCTCAGGTGAGAAGACAAGAGAATCCAGAATTGGAAGGTTCCTGAATATAGCTTGAGTTGAATGCCCATTGCTCTTGACCTATGAAAACATCTATTTTTTAATCTCAATCTAATAAAATTAATCTCCTGATCAGATTAAAAATGGATTCTATTAATATATCTCCTTTATTTCCTTATAGTTTCTGGTCTTATGAATTCTTGTTAGTGGTTATTTTAAAAACTGCACTCAGGCTGGGCATGGTGCCTCACGCCTGTAATCCTAGCTCTCTAGGAGGCCAAGGTGGGTAGATTGCTTGAACTCAGGAGTTTGAGACCAGTCTGAGCAAGACCCTGTCTCTACTAACAATAGAAAACCTGAGGCAAGAGAATCACTTGAGCCCAAGAGTTTGAGGTTTCTGTAAGCTATGATGACATGGCACTCCACCTAGGGCAACAGAGTGAGACTTTGTTTCAAACAAACAAAAATCAACAGAAGAGAACTAACTTTAAGGACGCCAGCCTGGGAGTTTGGGGAGAGGGCTGGTGTCTATCTAGAAAGCAGATTGTGCTGTCATTTGGCTGGTAGCTAGATTTGCCTCATTGAGGGTGTGTGTCTCCCCACCTCCTCCCTGGTGAGCCCATGGTCTGTCTGGCAGAAGAGGAAACCACAGTGGAATGGGAGCAGACTTGGAGAGACTGCCTTTCCTGGGCTGTGTATGCATGGCATATGTGATTTTTAGAGTGAGACAGATTCTGTATGAGGGCTTATAAATCTTGAGTAAGTTACTCAGTATGAGGTTTTCACCTTTAGAGATTGAGAACATACAAAGAAGGTAACACTATTAGTCACCAGGATTCAGTTATTTCATGGTGTAATCCTCAGTTTATCAATACAGTTTTAAAAACAATTTTAATTGTAATGTAATTACAATTTTAAAAACAACACATTTGGGTTAGCTCTCAGCAACTTCTTATTTCAGCAGCTGGACAACCTTTAAATCTTACCAATCAGACCATTATACTGTTTCTTTCTCTGAAACTTAGATGTCATCCAAAACTTCCTAATATGCTTGGTTTTGACTATTATGACTTATAATCAGAGAAAATGAACTTTATATAAATGGAATCTTATCTGTTTCTGGGGTTTGAGAAAAAAGTACTAACCTGGTTTTATGCAGATTTGATAATATACTTTTGTTGTGGTACAGGAGGGAGCTATACCTTGCCTTTGGTACACTGAGAATTCCCCAAGCAGAGGCTTTCCCTTCTGATCTCTGGAGGTCTGGGAGCAGAGAGAGGAATGATGTAAGAAATTCACTTGCAGAATTTTCAATGAAATAATTTACTGAGGCCTGGAGATGAACACCGAATCAGCCTATAGTGAAGCAGATAGATGCTGCCTCCTTGAACCAAAATCTCAGGAGGCTTTTATTAGGATTTTGGGGCATGTATGTACAAAATGAAGAAGTAAAGAAATAATAGTCTCATGACTCAATCACGTGAGTGGTCTTTTGATTATAGAAAAGGTTATTAGGGTGAAGGACAATAAGGCACCAAGTCATAGAACAATTCTTAAGGGCAGAACTAAATAGGTAACAAACAAAGTTACCTTAGGAAATGAGAAAGGAATGATTACAATTACAACCTTTGGGCTAAACTGTCTTGGTTTGAAGGTAATTTTTAATTGCCTTCTAATTCTCCTGATATCTTATTTCTGCTAAACTGCTGATTTCTACCAAGATGTTACCAAATCAGTTTCCTATTTATTCTACTGTACGTTCCAACCCCCTCCCCACTGTGTGGGTGCTGAGCAGCAGGATAGTGGGGTAGGTGGTGGAGGGGTTTGGGGAAGGTGAGAGGGCTGAGGCCTAGGGCCTTCCCCATGAGTCCTCTGGAATTTCAGCCTGAATTATATTTTTACCCACATACTTTGGCCCAAGAAATTTCAGATTTCAACAGTGACCCAATCTTCTGAATAGTGACATTGATGGGGAAGTGAGCATACTTAGACCGCATGCTGTTATGAAAACTGGAGTAACTACTCCAGTCATGTTTTAAAAAATGACTCTAGAGCTTGTGCCTTGCAAATTCTTTTCTATTTCCTTGCCATTTGACAACTTGGAACTTCTTTCATTTTGTATCCCCCCCCCCCAAGGAAACTGAAGTCTCTATCAATGTGATTGAAGCCTATGGATTCCCTGAGGGCCCTTCAGAAGCACTGAGTATCCCTGCAGATAAATGGCAATCTTTTCTGAATGTCAAGTCAAGTTGTTGAGAATGATCCATACTCTCTCAGTAAATGTGGCACTGAATGATAGCTGTACTGAAAGGGGATTGTAATCCTCGAATTCTAAGCAGATTAGGGGAGAGGAAGAGTTTTAAATCTAATTTATGACAAATGCTCCCAAGGTTTTCCTTTTTTTTTTTTTTTTTTTTTTGAGACAGAGCCTCAAGCTGTCACCCTGGGTAGAGTACTGTGGCATCACAGCTCACAACAACCTCCAACTCCTGGGCTCAAGTGAGTCTCCTGCCTCCACCTCCCAAGTAGCTGGGACCACAGGTGCCCACCACAATGCCTGGCTATTTTTTGGTTGCAGCCATCATTGTTGTTTGGTGGGCCCGGGCTGGATTTGAAACTGCCACCTTAGCCACTTGAGCCACAGGCACCGAGCCAGTTTCACTTCTTTATGTATTATGATGGGCTATTCAAGAAAAGCAGAGATTATGAATATTTAAGCTGACTGAGGATTTAGAGATTATTAACTATAACTTCATTTTCAAGTGAGGAAATGGAGGCTCTAGAATTTTAAATAACTCACCCAAGCTCAAGGTCAAACATTAGTCTTTTAACTCCTAGACTAATGCATTTCTTTCCAATCTACAAAAGAATGGCTTTACTTTTTGCATTTGATTTTATTATCTCAATCCTTCTATTGCTGTTCTCAAGATCAGAGCCCTGGACAGTGCCCTTGGCATATCCTGTCTAGACTCCCCAAAGCCAGTTGAGATCTAGACTTTTGCAGTCTTTCCTGCATTCTATATTTGTCATCTAATTCATATCCCTAAAACAATATTCTTGTTCTGTCAGTAGCTTGCAATGGAGGCTGCTCCACAGATAAACTACCCTTGGTCCACAAGCCAGAACATCTTCTCTATATAATGGATGAAGGATAATGGAGAGCCTGGTCTCCTGTGGAGGCTTAGAAGGTGACTTCATCACTGGTAGCCTGCTGGAGACATATCCCACCATCCCTGGCTCAGTTTTCCCTTTGATGTGCTAGGGAAATGATATGCTACTGGTATTGGTTCCTTTAGCCCTGTGCAGAGCAGGGAATGGGTATGAGGGTACATCCTGAAGTCCTCCAGG